CGTAGCCGGAGGTGCAGTCGAACGGCCGGCGCACGCTTGCGCGTGCTTAGCTGCCGCTGGCCGCGACGCAAAGGGGGTGCCGCACGCGCAGCCCGCCAGAAACTTGTCCTGGAAGACTGCGCGCCGGTGCCGAGTGGTCCGATGCCTCTGCAGGGAGCTGAAGCTGGCTGCCGTGAACGTGCACAGCGTGCACGTGAAGCGCTCCGCGTTGTGCACGTACACGGCGAGGACGGGAGCTTGGCGGGCGCTTGCTGCTGGTGGCGTGTGCACCGGGGTTTGGTTCTCGGCTCCGTCCTCGTCCACGAGCTGCAGGTGCTCGGCCGGCTTCTGGGCGTCGGCGTCGTCGTCGCTGTTGAGGCGGCGGCGCTTGCCGTCCGGGCGTCGCTCGCTGGGCCGGCGAGGCGATGGGCGGCGCTGCCTGGGCCGGACGCGGCCTTGGTCAACGTCCATGGGCTCTGCGGGGGAAGGCGCCGCCTGCGAGGCGCGCTGTGCGCAGGCGAGGGCATGGCTCGTCGCCGCCATCCGCGAGTGGAACACGAGGCTGCACGCGCACCCGCTGTCGAAGATGTCGGAGAAGCGGGTGCCGCGGTGCGCCGATCTGCGGTGGGCGACGAGCGTAGCCAAGTTGCCTGCGACGTACGCACACACGCTGCACTTGAACTCGGTGGCGCTGTGTGCGTACGTCGTCTGCACCGGCTCCTGCGCGGCGACTTGGTCGGCAGCCCGAGCCGCAGCGTCAGTTGCAACTGCCGCCTCAGCAATAGCTGCAGCAGTCGCAGCCGGCGCGGCTCCAGGCGTTGGCATGTCGGCGAGCATGCCGCCCGCCCTGCCGGGCCGGGGCAACACACTCGCAGGGTCCGGGCGGGGCTTGGCGGCGGCGGCGGGGTCGTCTTGGCCGTCCGCGTCGTCGCCGTCGTCGTCCTGGGCGCGGCGGAGGTCGTCGGGGCCCTGGCTGCCCGTGGGAGCGTGCGCCGTGGCGGCTGCGGGCGCTCTACCGACGGGCAGCCTGCCGGCCGCCCTGCCGGGTCGGCCAGCATCATCGGCGGGGTCTTGGGGGCTGCTGGCGGCGGCGTCGTGGCCGTCCGAGGCTTCGTCGTCGCTGTTGCTGTCGTCGTCCGGGCTGCTGGGCCGCTGGCAGGCCGCCAGGGCCCGCGCCGTAGCCGCTGCGAGCGCCGCCCCAGGCGCTACCCAATCGGGCAGCCTGCCGGCCGCCCTGCCGGGTCCTGCCAACTCGCTGGGGGGTCCTGCGGCGGCGCCGCGCGCTGGAGGGGCTGGCGGGGGGTCTTGAGCAGCCAAACGGCGCGCGTGGGGGTCCGTAGCAGGCGTGGGGGCTGCGCAGGAGCCGTCGCTCCGCGCGCCTCGCCGAAGCGCCGCGTCCTCGAGGCCGTGTTCTTCGGCCGTGGCGACCGTGCCGCGCGGCGCACGAGAGGCCCGGGATCCGGGCATAGTGGGGCCAAGTGGACGGGGCCCGGTCCCGCCCGGCGGACGGTCCGCGGGCCCGCGTCCGCTCGCCGTCGCCGCGAAGCGACGCGAGGTTGAAGCGGCGGACCGGGCCTCGGCTTGGCCGCCAGAGGGCCCGGCCCGCGGTCCCGCAATGGGCGCAATGGGCGCAGCGGGTCGCGGACCCGTGCCCGAAGTTGCGCCGGCCAACTCCTCGCCGGTGCCGAGCAGCGGCGCCGCGCGTGGAGGGTCGCCGGGGCCATTTTCGGCTCCGGCCGAGCCCAAAACGGGGGCGGGCGGATCCCCAATGCGTAACCGAAGCCCTAGCGGATCCGCCCCCGCCCGGACGTCCGCCAGCTCAACCGCCCCAGCCCCGTCGCTGGCCGCGCTATAGAAAGACGCGTCGCTGGCGAGGCTGGAGTGGCTGGCCGTGGAGCACTCGCTGTCGGTGGACGGCGAGCGCTCCCGGGGCTGCCAGTCCGGCCACCAGAAGCGCATGCGCCGATGCGGTGGTGAAGGGCCGGCCCGTAGGCAGAAGAAGGAAGAAGATAGAAAAGATAAGTGTAGTAGTTGGCCTCACGAGGGATAGGTGAAAGCCCCCGGAGACCGTACCGCAATTGGCTAGCAAGCTAACCGAAAGCAGCAGTTCCAAAAATAAATGTGAAAAAGACCCCACCAAAAGCAGGGAAACCAGTTTTCACACTGATTAGAACAGAAAGGGTTAATGTATTACCTGCCGGTTAGTCCGTTGCGTCCTGGTAGTGACTACCTGGGAGTCCCTAATTGGTGTGTAGTTGGTGTACGGGTTGAACCAATCGGAGGGTCGGACCATGTGAGCCGGTGCAGGGTTTCCGAGGGCGGTTCCCTACATGGGTGTGGCCCTGTCGGCCGCAATGGGCCTGGTTGCCGTCTAGCGGCGGCCGGAGCGCGACGGAGTCCCCCCGGTCTCCGTCACGGCTGGACTGTATGCACGCGGCAGATAGCTGCCAGTCCAGCCGCTTCGCATCTCGCTTGAGCAGCCCCAGGTGCTCGGTGTAAACCGAGCGGTTGCCACCGGCGACCGCACCAAGCGAGCCGTAAACGAGCGCCGAGAGGTGCACCTTCCACCCTTGGCGCTCGAGGTGGCGCTTGATGCGGTCGTACTTGGCGCGCTTGTGTGCGGCGATGCGGGCCAGCGCTGAGCTGTCCGGGTCCTCGCCCGCCTGCTCCTCGAACGCCACGGCCAGGTCGACCACCGCCACCGTCTTCTTGGTGTGGTTGTACAGCTGGAGGTCGGGCCGTAGCGCGGGGCCAGCGAGCGAGGGCACGGTCTGGTTAACCCGGAGCTCAACGCGGTCCTGCCGGTCGCCCGACGACGACGCGATGAGCGCACGCTCGATGGTCTTGAGTGCGTCGTCGTGGCGGCCGCGGACCGCATCCATGGTGCCCGGGCAGTGGTTGAGCACATGCGCCAGCGTCTCCACCCGGGAGCAGCCCGGCTGCCTGCATCGGTCGTGGGCCCGGAGGCGCCGGCGCTTGAGCACACTGTGCGTGTCGAGCTGGTTCAAGCGGGCGGCCACCGCGAAGCGGTAGTCAGCTTCCCACATGCCTCGCGGCCGCGTGAGGAAGCTGCTGCCGACGCCGCCGTGCGCGCGTGCCGTTCTGCCTTGGTCGCGCATGGCCGCCCACTTGGTCCAGTGTCTGTGCTTGATGTGCAGCTTCACGTGCCGCAGGACCGTGCGGTGGTCGAGCCACTTGTCGTGGTGCGGCACGCGAAGCTGCAGCGTGGCCGCGGCCGTGCCGGTGTCGGCGCACGCCGGCGCGGTCGCGAACTGGAGGCCGAGCGTGCGGAGGTGGCGCTGGACGTCGACCCAGAGCGAGCCGATGTCGCCGTTGCGGCGCTTTGGCGGCGCGTCGGGCGACGTCCCGAGCTGCGAGTTGAGCAGCAGCTCGCACAGCTCCTCCTCGCGGCCCGCCCACACTTGAGTGTCCAGCCGGTGGCGCGCGTCGGCGATCTGCCGGAGCTGCACGCGCGCGATGCGCTGGATGGCAGGGTCCTTGGAGTTCAGCATCTGCCACCCATGCGCGACTTGCAGCGCCGCGTGCAGTTCCGTCAGCGGCAGTAGGCCCAGTCCGCCGCGCGACACCGGTGCGTAGAAGCACTGCGCTGTGGCGGAGGCTGGCAGTCGCAGGAGATGGCGGAGGCCTCGCGCGAGGTGCCGGTCGAAGCCCGCAAGCTGCTGCTGGAAGGGGCGGAGGTGGCGAAGCGCGTACTCCACCCGAGGGTAGAGGTACGTCTTCACCGCCTTCATCACCTGCCACGGTGCGAGGCCCGACTGGAGCAGCGCTGTCGCGTCATCCTTCAGCTGCTTGAGCGTGGGCGCGAGCTCGACGCGGCGGCGTGTGTGGTCGAAGCCGTCGCCGACCCCCAGGTAGGTGTACGAGGCGCTCATGGACAGCGCGGGGATCGGCGACCCGTCCAGCTCCAGCTTGAGGTCGTCCGCCTTGAGCACGCCGCGGCGGTCGCGCTGGATCGACATGGCGGAGCATTTGCTGGGGTTGGCCGCCATGCCGGTCCAGCGGAGGAAGTCGGCCACGAGCGCGTGCTGTCGCTTGATGCCGTCCTCGGTGCCGCTGAAGATCTTGAGGTCGTCGGCGTACGCCGAGGCACCGGGGCAGTCATCGCCCGACAGCGGCACTCCCGTGGCCGGCAGTCGCTTCAGCGCGAAGAGCAGCGGGCTGATGGCAGCGTTGAAGAGCTGTGGGCTGAGCGGGCAGCCTTGGAAGACTCCCACCCGCAGCGAGATCGGGGCCGTTGTGCCGTCGGCGGCGTTCCCGACGACGAACGCCGCGCTCTCGTAGAGCCCCTTGCACATGGTGACGTAGTCCTCGGGGACGCCGAGCCGCGCGAGTGCATCCCATAGCAGCGCGAACGGCACGCTGCCGAACGCGTTGCGGAAGTCGTACCAGACTTCGTAGAGCTGGCGGCGCTTGCGGCGGGCCTGGTCGACGAGCGTGGCCGCGAGGAAGTTGTGCTCCCCGCAGCCGTTGACCGCTCGGAAGCCCTTCTGCCCCGGGGCGTGGCGGTCGTTCGCGTCCAGCCACCGTACCAGCCGCCGCGCGAGGACCCCCGTGTAGAGCTTGTAGATGGCTTGCTGGAGGCAAATGGGCCTCCAGTTCGCCGGGTCCTCGCGCGCGCCCTTCTTGTGCAGCAGCCGCACCACCCCGAGCTTCCAGCTCTGGGGCACACGTTTCGCCTCCCAGCACTTCTGGAAGGCGGTGGCGAGCACGGGCAGGAGCTGCGCGGCGAAGTGCTGGTACACGTCATAGCCGACGCCATCGAGGCCGGGGCTGGAGGTGCCGTGGGCGTGCTGCAGCTGTGACTCGATATCGTCCTGTGTCGGCGCCTCCGTGAGCAGCTCCCTGAACCTCGACGCGGCAGGCAGGTGGGTCATAGCGGAGCGGAAGGCAGCACCCGCCGGGGCGTCCGGAGCGAACTCCTGGCTGGGTGTGTTGACGCCGTCGAAGTACCGCCAGAGCTCATCGCCCGGAATGGGGCAGGTACCGTCGTCTGTGGCGCCTGCCGCTGGCGCCGCTAGGTCCGATGCGGTGCCGGCGTTGGAGGCCGCTGTCCTTGGCGTCTCCTGCTGCGCGCGTGCCTTGGCCAGGATGTCTTCGACGCAGGCTTTCTCGTCCGTGTCGAACCGGTGACGCAGGTGCTGTTGGTCGATGGCCGAGTTGACGCGGCCGACGCGGCGGCGGGCTCGGCGAACAGCCGTGCGGTCTCCGGGCGAAGCCTGCTCCACGGCGTGGAGGTCGTCCAAGGCCTCGTCGAGGCGGTGCTCGCGGTGGTGTCGAGTCACCCGCGGCGGGCGGCGGCGACGTCGCCGCTTCGCTGCACCAGAGCGCCCGCGGCGCCTGCACTGCCTCCGTCGCGCCGAGTCCTGCTGACTGGCGTCGCCATCGCGCTCGTTGTCTCCATGTGCATCGCCTTCCAGGCTGCGGCGGTCCTGCCCTTGGTCGTGCCGCGGGCGCTGCCGTCGCTGTTCGCCTTGTTGCCGCTGCTGCCGCGGGCACTGGCTGCCTTGGTGCTGCTGTCGCTGACGCTGGGGACGCGGCTCGGGGCGTCGCTGGGCCTGGGAGTACGGCTGCAAGTTGTCGTACAGGAGGTGCGGGAGGGCTGTGATGTAGCCCTCCGCCGACTCCCAGTCACTGGCGTCAGTGATCTTGGCCGCCAGCGTCGCGCCAAGCCGCTCCACCATCTCGCGGGCAGCGTCGTCCTCGGCTTCGGTGAGCTGGCGTAGTCGGAGGCGGGGTCGACGCTGCGGAACTGCGTCCGGCCCGATGCGCATGGCTGCATAGACCTCGCCGTCGTCGATGTCGGCGAGATCCTCGTCCTCCGGCTCCTGCATCTCGATGTTGGTGTCGGCCGCGGGTGTCGGGGGCGGAGCGCGGGGTGTCGGCTGGGGCGGCAGCACGGGCATAGGGTCCAGCGTCGTGTTCGTACAGCCGTCGCCTGCCGTGTGAGCGCCGCACTCCATCATCGTCCGGCGGAGGTCGAGGGCTCGATTGGCCAGGCGGTCGGCATGGGCATTCGCTTGGCGGTCGATGTGGTGGAGTGAGAAGCTCCCCACCCGCGCGAGCTCTACCTTGACTTGGTCGCGGAGGCGGCGTAGAACGGCGTTCCTCGCCGCGAAGATGCCGCGCACCTGCTGGATCACAAGGGTGCTGTCGCCTTCCACCCGCAGCGACGTCGCTCCGTGGTCGGCAGCGGCTCTCGACCCGAGCAGCAGCGCCGAGTACTCGGCAGTGTTGTTCGTTTCGCTGCTGCTCGGCATGTAGTGGGAGCACGTCCACACCACGGAGCCGTCGGGCTTGAACAGCGCTGCACCAGCTCCGCCGGGTCCTGGGTTGGCGCGGCAGGCGCCGTCGAAGCGCAGCAGCCACTCTCCGGCGGTGCCGCTGTCCACGTCCATCGCCGCCGCTGTCGCCGTCCG